AGAGGAGAGGAGAGGAGAGGAGAGGAGAGGAGAGGAAGAGAAGAGAAGAGAAGAGAGAGAAGAAAAAGAAGAAAAGAGAAGAAAAAGAAGAGAAGAGAAAAAGGGAAAGAGAAGTGAAGAGACTCATTTCTTTCTTCTTCATGACTGTGGATACATGGTGTCCAAGCCACTTCAGTCACTCTACACCATGCCTTTCTCACTATGACGGGCTGTAGAGTCAGAGTAAACTCTTTTTAGAGTTGCACAGGTTTCTGTTTTAGAAAGACACTCTAATACAGGAAGAGAAAAACTGCATGGTCTGCCTTTCATCCGGGCAACCTCTTGTACCAAACATAATCCAGAGCATGCAAACCCAGCATGTCCATCTGCACAGCCACTTTGTGCAGTGACCTCAACCACCCATCAGTCAATCAAGACTGGAGAAGCCTACACAATCCCTGAGAAGTGGGCTTATGATGTTTTTTTTGGTCTGGAAACTACAAACTTTAAATGACTGAAGTGATATCTAAAACTGGGCTAAACCTCTCTGTGAGCAACCTCATCTGGCCCTGAAGAATATTTGTGTGTTCATGTCTCCCCAGGAATAGTGTCATGCCACCACAATATTATTAAATCTGGGTTCTACATATGAAAGATGTGTAATATTTGTGTTTGTTCTCTATCCTTATTGTCTCTTTTTCTCCCTTTCTTTTTTCTACTATTGCACTTTTTATAACATGTCACACACACACATATATATATATATGTACACATATAACATATGCACCGATAACATATATATATGTAAATATATACATCTCTATCTAGATAGATATATGTAGATATTTATCTATATATACATACATAAAATATGTATCTATATATATACATACATGTAAACTGTATGATTACTGCAGTTTATTTGGAAGTTCTCCTTTTAGTTTTCTGTAGCGCCCCCATATTGATTTTCATCCTCCTCACCAAGGATTCTCATCAGAAATTGTCACTCATTCTTTTCTTGTCACTGAGAGAAGATGGCACCTCTGTGTAATTTTCATGTGTTTTTCTTACGGTCAAGGCTTAAAACACACCTTGTCCTAACTCTCAGATAATAACTAGGCTTGATTTCCCTCTTTCTGGAACAGTCTTAGAATTAGAGCTCCATTGAACTCTTCCCAACTGTAGCAATTCTTCAAAGCACAATATTTATCCCCATGTTGAAACTTTCCAAAAGTCATCTATTAATATTAATTATTGGCTCCAGGGCAGTTTCTCATCTTGAAAAACAGCATTCATGTTTGTATGCCAAATTGTCATTTTAAACTACTGAGTATGCCCCTGACGTTGACACTCAGTCCTACTTTCGTGTCTGCTCACTGGGAAATTCCATTTGGAGTGGCAGGTTCAATGATATAGCAAAGACTGCAGCCATCTTTCCCTGTGACTGGACCTCACCTTTTTTTGTTGACTTTGACAGGTTTTATCAATGATTTACTCTCTGAGTCACCAGGTTTCAGTCAGTGTTGTCTTCAGTTCCCCTCTCTTCTTGCTAGGACACCCTATTGATTCATTGCTTGGAGAAATCTCTCTAGTTACCATTTGTTTTTAAATCCTGATGTGTCACCTCTGTCTCCCAGTGTTCACACTGCTCTAGTCATTGCCTCTTTACAAAAAGTGTTCTGCCAGGATGGCAAGGTTTTGGGTGACTTTTTCTCTTCTACTTAAAAACTCTTCTATTGGTCTCTATGGCCTAACGGAAAGTTCATGTCTTTAGTGTTTTTTCTACTTAGTTTTCAAACAAGCTCTCTATTTCACCTAGGCTCAACTTCCTGTGAACTCAAATTCCTAGTGTTTGCATCCTTGCTTAATTGTGTCCTCTCTCTGTTGCCGCCCCCTCTTCTTACTCTCTCCTCCCACACTACTTCAAACCAAAATCCTCTTGCCCTAATCTGTCTGTCTTCCTTCCTTCCTTCCTTTCTTCTTCCCTCCCTCCCTCCCTTCCTTCCTTCTTTCCTTCCTTCCCTCTTCCTCCTCTTCCTCCTCTTCCTCCTCCTCCTCCTCCTCTTCCTCCTCCTCCCTCTTTTGGAATTATTCTATCTACTCTATTTGTTTGACAACTATTAGTTGATTGTTTTGAATTGTTGCAGGAACTCATTTGTGTTCAAGTTGCCTTTTTGAATAGATTTTAATTGATATGAAAACAATTTTTCTGTTCTCTTTTGTCACTCACTCACACTGTGTGTAATGATTGCTTTAAATGCCTCATTTAGATGTCATTAAAACAAAGGGTTCTGTCTTATATACAGACTATTTGTCATACTGTAACTAGTACTGTAGATGCTAAAAGCATTGCTAAAATTGCTACATTTTCATCAGAATTTCTGCCCTAATCTTCACATTATCCATACAGATATTCCTTCTTCCTCCCACTAGTTTTGCTTTTGAAGAAAAATAGATTTATTTTTCTTTTATAGAAAAACTTGTTTCTCACAATGTGGGTTTTCTAATCTAATCTTTATTGTCACCCACCCATGCAGTGCACAGTGATTGCTCAAGATGCTTCATTTTTATGTCATTAAAACCAAGGGTTGTGTATTACACTCTGATAAGAAATTACTTTGCTTATATATCATTCTTACCATCATGTTTGTCAGTGTCATCTTCAATCTAAGCAGTTCTGCCTTTTGGAAGTTGAAAGTGAAAATAACCATCTGAGTCCAGTGCATTATAACAGAAGACATTGTATTATCAGTCTTTCATTTTATTGAAAAGAAATCATTTCTATTCTAGCACAAACAATGTATATTTTACATCATAAAGCAAGATATAATTTACATATTACATTTCTTATGAGATCTTTATTACCATATGCCATTCCCCTTTTTTGTAATTAGGTCATTACTTCTGGTTTAATTTAACCTGCCAAGTACTCTACTAATTGGCTCCATGTTTGGGAAGGGATTGTGGACATTGATAGTCCTAATGCCTTCATCTGTATATACTGATGGAGAGCAATAGGTATATGCCTTGAGTCTGGCACTGAGACACTCCTTTGGTGATTGACTTATAAGCTAATATCTAATGCTCCAAATCACTTGTTAAACTTATATTCTTTTTAAAGAGTTTGTCATAAATGAATAAAATTGAGTGTTAGTGGTATATTTCCCAGTAAGTGCTCAGATAAAGATGTTGTGCTATGGGTCTACCAGCTGCAGGTATGCCTATGACTAACTAGCAGGGGTTATTCTATGAACTTCCAAGAAACAGCTTATACAATGCATCGGATACAACCTCCCACTTACTCCTTTGAGTTTATGGGATCAGGTTTGTTTGATGTCTACTGGGAATGGATGTCAGGGTGAAAGTTTCAAATGACTTCAAACAACTGTCTTCCAAGATTCTGCATTCTTTAGAAAGCTTTTTTCATTTATAATTTCTCTTTCTTGCCTATAATCAAAATCTTTTAGCCATTCTCTGCAAATTTTAAATTCCCAAAGTTTACCAGTCTCTCAGACCTGTACTCACTTACAAATCAAAGAATATTTTTACAATAGGGATGCACTGTTCTTTTGAAACTTGGCAACACAGCAATCAATGGGACAAATACATGAGTGAGGAGACCCCTTAAAAACAAGTAATGTGCATTAAGCCAGACCACATAAACTATTCTGAAAGAAATGTTTTAATAGTAGTTGTTGAGAAGGGATCACTTCATGAGATCAAAGTACACAAGATGATCTTCCTTCTTATTATTGAACAAAGTACAAAACCACTTGAAATGTATTTTCAGATAGGTGCCTGTTAAACTGGAAAAACATCACCATTGACTCAACCAGATATGCTGAGGGAAGTACAAGCGTGTGCTAAAAGTAAACCTTATACTCCAAATACTTTGCCTGCCTGTCACTCATATTGCAAAGTTGACATACTTGGCCAAAATCAGTCTGAAGATTTTTATTCACTGAGAACTATGGTTATTAAAACCAAGCTGTTGATGAAAATATAAGTTAAAAAATATCTCTATACTTGTGCCTTAAATTATTCTTTGGTCAAATGATGTGAATTGTTGAGATATTTGAAAATATAAACCTATTTATGATTTCCAAATACAAGGTTATATTTATGTACAGCCAGATACCATTTCCTTACTAGAAAACAACGCTTTCAGATACTGTGTTAGTCCATGAATATTGTATGCTCTTAACGTCCCTTCTTGTTTCACGGCTAAAAAGTGCTGGACAAACAAAGAACAATGAAGGAAGAAAGGGAGAGAGAGAGAGAGAGAAAGAGAGAGAAGAGAAAGAGGACGTATGTATGGATGTAGCCTCACAACATCCCTGTGAGGTAGGAATTGTTAAACCATTTTATAAACAGGTAAACTAGACACAGCATGGTAACATGGTTTGGTCAAGTCCACCAGGAAAGTTGCCAAAGCATAGCTGGGAACAAAGAGAAACAAAGAAATACCAGCCCTGCCTCCCACCCTAGATACTAAAACTCATTTCAAAACCACTAAAATGTAAAAGTATGATTGTACTTAATTGTTTTTAAATTTAGACAAAGCTTTAAGTACTTCACTTAAACATATTACTTGTCTTTCATATTCCTGTGGAGTAAACAAAGAATGCTGTCTTCCCCATTGCTTTACCTGTATTTCCAGGGATAAGTCAGATGATACAGACTTTCCATTGGAGCTCAGGGTCCAAATTCAAGGTCAACTCTATAAACATCAAGTAATTCCTAATTCCATTAAAGCCCTAGTGTAAAAATGAAAACTGTTCTCAAACAGCTGCCTAGCTAATTGCTCTCTGACCTTAATGAGGATTTTGTATAGAATATGAAAAACAGCAAGATGCCCCACTAACATATCATTATTGTGTAAATAAGGACAGTGGTGATGGCAAAGAGTTTGCTTTTATAGTGTTTGAGAAACTGCAAACTCAAGCTTTCAATATTTTATATATAATATATATAAATATATACAGCATATATATATGTATATATAAAAGTGTGCATCTGACCACCTCTAAGGCACCAAAGAGATATAGACTATGCCTTTCACAATTCAGTATTTGTCTTCCTACAAAATTTTTTCCATCTCTAAAACTGAAAGTATTTCTTCTACCAAAGAATGAGTGACAGAAATTGTTCAAAAACAACGAGCATCTTTAACTTAGGATGGTTTATTGTTTGGGTTGGGTAAGGAGTGGGGTGATGGTGACACAACCTATAGCTCAGAGTTTAGAGTTCACCAGACATGGCCAACCACATCGATCAGACAGATCAGTGACCAGAACATGTGTACATTTATTTTTCCTGTAGCTGATAGAAAAACTTTACCATGACCAACATGGACACAATAATACAGTTTCTTCAGAAAGACTTTGGATTTTGAGAATCTCCTAGATAGTCTCCTAGAAAGACTTGGAAGGATACAGAGTAAGACACTGAAGTCAAACAGGTTACTGAAAAATGATCTTTCATATATATATATATATATGTACTTCTTTGGCTGCTGCAGATTTTTTTTTATTCTCCTACAATTATAGGAATGGAAGGGCTGAACCTAATGGAAGAAGACTGGAGTACAATTAGCAAAGCATGGATAGAAGGAAAGCACACACGTACACAAACACACACACACACACACACACACACACACACACACACACACACACACAAGCGAATGGTGATGGTATCCAAGAGGAAGAAGAATCATTTGTTAACTAATTTTCATTTTGTTTCCTCCCTTGCTTTTCTCCGCCATGGTCCCAATATTTTAGTTCTGGCTTTGTTTGTTTGCTTTTATTTTTTTTCCCGGCGGATGAAGAAATGACAGAACAGGATAGGTGTCTTATGGTTTTTGATTTCTTCTTAGGCCTGTTTAATTATTTTTTTTTCCTCAGTTGACTGTTGGCACCTGGTTCCTCTGTAAACTATATTCCTTGGCCTTCAGTCTCAGGTTGGCAATGCTGTTGGCCATGTTGATACCCTGTGCAGGGCTATTGTTGGCACATGTGGCAGAATAAGTAGCCATGGCGCTGTAGGGACAAAGGAGAGAGCAGGGAGAATAACAGACATTAGTTTCACAAAGCTGTAAGACCGTGCCCTGGGTGGATATACTCTCAGGACAGGGACAAGCAGGGCAGTGGGGTTGAGAGAGGACCTCTGGGTCTTTTACAGCCCCAGCTTTCAATTAGTTTAAGGTCCTTGGAAAAGGGTGCCCATCTTTTTACAGGGCACAGGGAAGCAGAGGAGAACGAGACAGGGTAGGGAAAGGTATTTGCTGTGCTGCATACAGTGAGTAATGATTTATTTCAGCGGTGAGAGGAGACTCATGTCAAATAGCAGGAGTTTCATCAGCTAGTTAGATTCTGGTCTTTCCTACCTATACCAGACAGCCTGTGAAACCAGCAAAGGAGAACGGCAAGCATGTGACAGTAGATAAAACAAAGTTTGCTTCTTCATTCCAGGAAACTGAACTGGACTCGAGTGCGTTTTGGATAATCAATAATACCATAAGAAATGATGTGCTTATAGAATCACTTTAACAGCCCAACATACTCCTCTGGAATTGTGATTCATTGGATGATAGTAACAAGCATTGTCAAGTCAAGGCTTTCCTATCAATGGGTTTTGATTTTTATAACTTCTCAAATGTATTTGACTAGAACACATCATCGCTGGGGAGAAGCACTTTGGAAATATTTAAAATTTCAAAATATACTTCCCAAGTTATAGTTTTACCATTCTTGACCTCAGATGTAACTGTTTCTCATTGTTTATGCTGTTGGGAGAAACATGAAGCTAGATTTGATTGTCACAAACTACAATTAAGATACAGGCAAGAATTCATTACTACTGGGGTTTTATTTATTGCATCCATGAATCTTTTTTAAAGGAAAAAAATGGGATGTAGATGTGGGTGCAAATAATCTCTTACTTTATATGAAATGGTTAAAAGGAAACTTTTATAAGTAAATAGAATGCTTCTAGCTGTTTCTAAGATTAGAAAAATTTCTTTCAACAGAGAGCTGGGATGGGGCTTATAAATGGAATGACATGTGCGTTTCTGCTGCCTGCATTCCAACGGGATTTTGTAAGCCACACTGGAGTTTGTGGTTCTGGGATCAGATGACAAGATCGGAAAGAAGGAAACCTAAAGCTAGAGGGACTAGATCCTTAATATTTATCTGGAATAGCACAGAGTCAAGGATAAAGTTAGGACTCACTGTAGTCTATTTCAGCTCAGAGTCTAGCATTTTCCAAGAAAAAAAAAACTGAGTTAAGGAAATATACTAAGTATCAGATCTCTTAGTCCTTCTACAAAATACATGCTTTCAAAGCTTTATTACATGTGTATAAGTAATTGTGAGGACAAAGTCTACATTACAGCAGTAGGAGAAAGAGTTAGGATTACAAAAATTTGTACTTTTATATTTTACTTTTTCTAGCTTTTACTCTTATTGATCACTCTGGGTAGTTAGTCTTAAGCCTCCCTCCCCCAGACAAGGTTCTCCAGTAGCGTCTTGCATTTTTGATTTAATCATTTCTTTCACTTTGATTTTATGGCTTGTTCAGTAGCCATCACTGTTCCCTACCAGCTCCATGGGCAACACATCTGCTTTCTTCTCCATTATATTTTCAGGCAGAGCTGACCCTATATCCAGCAAACATTTGGTTTTCAATAGACCATTTATTAAGTAAAAAGTCATAGCCAGATATAGGGTGATCAAAGTGACCTGTGCTCTGTGTCTCTGACGTCTGTAACCCTACTGTAGTGATTTCAAAAAATGATTCATTTATTCTTGAGAACTAGTGCTTTCTGTAAAATGAGCTATCTTAGTGAAAGGAACAAAGCCAGAATGGTGTGGTATACAAGAGCATCATCATTGCATATTCTTGGATTGATAAAACATCTTTTCACAGTAAAAAATGCATTACTACATTAAAGCTTAATAAAACAAACATTATCTTTATCACTCTCCAGCCACAAGGCAGAAGAGTCCTCAGTGAAGGCAGGCTTGACTTATGAGTAAATGACAAGAACAATCCACTAAGACCGGACAAAAGCTGGATAGATAGCATTTACTTTCTAGATGAATTGTATGCTTCTATCTAATATCCTACAGGAAACCAATGCAAACCTCAAATTTATAGTTCAAATATTTCCAGGATATACCAAACACTCAAAAATTTAGAAGCGAAGAAAAAGAGCGAACCAAACTTGGAGAATGTACCTAAATAATAGATTATTATAAAATAAAATTAGCCCTTCTAAACCAAGTTTCTGTGAGAATGTCAAGTTCTAAATATGGTCCACAGATATTAGCATTTTAAAAGTATGGCATTAGAGCATGTCTGTGTGATTTGTTAAATACTGGGAAGAAAATTAAATGACTTTTGAATATATAAGGCTAAAACTTCATGAGAGAAGAAAAATGGCCAGTGTTAAACTATAGATTGTTATGGAGTAATATTGTGTTTACTTGGTCCAAGTTTCTGTTTGTTTGTTTGTTTTTGGTTTTGGTTTATTGAGACAGGGTTTCTCTGTGTAGTTCTGGCTGTCCTGGAACTCACTTTGCAGACCAGACTGGCCTCGAACTCTCGAACTCAGAAATCCGCCTGCCTCTGCCTCCCAAGTGCTGGGATTAAAGGCGTGCGCCACCATCGCCTGGCTTTGGTCCAAGTTTCTAAGAGAGCTATTACTCATTCCTTAAGATTCTGGACAGCAAGTTCCTACTTAATAGAAATCCACCTTTTCTTTGATAACTGAAAGTATTCCATTTCCTCACTGGGAAGAGATGTTTGAACTTTGGGGAGCATGTGTTAATTCTCTGAAGTTGTTGTTATTATTTTTCCAAATTGCCTACTACAGTATCAATATCAATTCTGTCTATAGTACGTCATTTTGGCTATAGTTATTTCATAGTCTCCTAACTACCTTATCTGATGCTGTAGCTGGAGTAGTTACTATGGTAACACATCTCTTAGAAATACTGTGTTCCTGTCTCATTAGGTTGACAGAAAATCAGAAGGATTGATCAGTTTTCTCACTCAAAACCAAATGAATGAGAATTAGGATAGTACTTCCGGAGGAGACTGCATAGTTACCAAGGCATTCAAGTGGCATCCTGCACATGCATGGCAGAGAACACTGTCTTTTTGCTTTCTAGGGCACTCCTGTGATGACCGCAACATTCTAGCAGTGATTCTGTGGCAATGTTATATGGAGTCCCTCAAGTTAAAAAGTCAGAAGTTAAGAGAGCAGTTTACATTAACGAATGAAGTTTGTACTTCCATGGGAGGTTTGGTAAGTTGTAGTCCTTTCACTTGATAAATGCTTAAGAAAGTCCTGAACATTCAGTGACTGTGTTAATGTATTGTAGCATTCGGTAGCTGAATATGTAGGTTGTAACGAACAGACACCATCTCTATTCTCTACCTCTTAGTAAACATTTAGGATAGTCCCACAGTCATATTTGCAGTGATATTTTATATACTTCCTTCAGGGTGTTTGGCATAGGTCTACTTTTACAGCTCAAACTGAATGTGCAATATAGGCAAGCCATTCTGTCTATAGTCTATAGCTTTTGGACATGTCCATGACAGCTCATGTTCATGACCAGTCAGAAAAGACAGAATTAACTACAGGTATGTTACTAGGTTGCTAACTGGGTGTCTAAAGAGTTGCTTAGTCATGCTTTGAACACAGCGTTGGAAGATGGAAGACTTTCTTGCTTAAGTGACAACAGATGCAGGGGAGCCTTGGACGGCTGCCAATCCAAGAGACTGTTCATGACCACCTGTTTTCTACGTCATGGAAACTTCTGCTTTAGGAAACAAAAGAGCCCTAAAAATTTTTTCCCACCAAAGGGACACCTATAAAGGTAAATAATTGACTTCAACCAATTCATAGGCCAATTCAGCCAATGTAAAATTACCACTTGTTGCTACATAGAATGAAACTTCCTAAATTGAGTGAGTGAGGAAAGGAGGGAGGG